CTAGAACCAAGCACACCTGTAACCCTCAGAAGAATGAGGCACAGGGATCTCAAGTTGGAGACCCGTCTATCTCAGAAGAACAAAACCAGCAGGTGGTGAGGTGGTCCGGGGGTAAAGGCGCTGGCCACCAAGCCTTCTGGCTTCGTTCTGCCCTCAGGATCCACGTGGTGGAAGGAGAGAACTGACTTCAGTGTGTGCTTGTCCATACACACAGAGGCCCTGAGGAAGATGTGGGCGGGCAGCTGCTCCAGAAGCATCTGTGCCCAGGCAGCTCTGCTTGTCTTTGTCCTGAGACCTCTGCTACCCTTTAACTGGAGGATCCGGGAGCTGTACTAGGGCCTGGTAATGATGAGGAGTTGACTAAAAATCCATAGTGAAGTGTTGCGGGCAAGACACACTAAGGAATCCTTTGTGGGCCAAGGGCCACAACCAGCTCTCCCTTCTCCAGGTTGTAAGGTCCCTGCATTATCTTCACAAGAAAGCCTGAGATTGCTCCCCAATAGATGTGCTCATGACCTGTCTCTTTATCCAGGTGCTGAGCGATGTCCTCAAGGATCTCTATCACCTGCTGAAACATGTGGTACGTTTGGAACCTGATGATGTGGCCAAGCTACATGCCCAGCTGGCCCTGGAAGAGCTGGATGAGATCATGAGGAACTTCCTGTTCCCTCCCCAGAAGCTGGAGAAGAAGATCGTGGTCCTGCCATAGACCTGGTTCATAGGACATGGAAGAAGGCAGGGAGGGACCAAGCAGCCAAAGCAAAGGCCACACACCTCCCAGCAGGTGGCTCCACAGCCTCCTTGGTGCTGGCAATATGGCAGGCTTTAAGGTAGTTTTATGGTGCAGAGCACTTGGATGTTCAGGGCTACCTTTCTAGAGAGAGCATCCATTTAGTCATCCTGCATCTGGGCCAAAGCATGTGCAGTTAGAAGAAACAGGATGAATTCCATCTACTCTGCACATCTTCATTGTCCTGTGCTGTTTAGAGGAGATGCGCATATGACTATTGACCACTTCCTTGCAGCTGGAGAGGCCTCCTGCACAGGTCCTGTCTTGACATTCTTTCATGGTGAGATGACTCTGCCTGTGATAATGAGGAGCAGGCAGAGCTATCATGTTTGGCTGCTCAAGAGTCATCTGGGTATGCAGCTCTGGGAAGGGGGAGGAGGCATTACTTAGACATACAAAAAGGAATAAAATTACCTTGGTTGCAATGATCAGCCAGGCTGAATCTGGTCATTGAGCTGGTTGACTCTTGAAGAGAAAGGAAGCCCTGTTGGTCCT